TTACCAATGCATGTTATTAATCCTTCTTCGTCTAGACTACTAAATACGATTCAATCGCCATAAGAGCGAAACTATGATCACAAAAGGCAACCACCTGTGCCTGTTGCCATGGCAAATTCTTTTCTTAATAACCGCATGTTACCAACATATAATATCAGTATGCTTAAACTGACCGTTCCTGTGACCTTAGCTTTATTAAAGACCGTCTCATCCGTCTCTGCATAATCCCCGGCGTATAATCTGACAGCAGGGTGCCGGCTTGATGTGGCTTCTTCCATTCGACCTTAGCACGAAATTTGACGTCCATGTTGGAACACTAACTAATACCAAAAGCCGATAAGTCTCAGACTGACCGATAGATAGCGCTGCCTACGTCACGTGACCACGCCAGAAGACTTCGCGCTGTTGGTGTCGTGTGTACCTGATTGATAGACGGTTTACTTCATACAGAGCGGTACGATTGATTTATGTCATATTTGACAGTTTCGCAGATGGGGCTTGTCAATATCACTTTTCGTTTCATATGATTCATCAGCCAGTTAACGGAAGCCCTCCAGCTAACTAGAAGCATGTCAGCTAACAAGCAAATCACTGAGATGAAAAATTGAGCTGTTTACAAGTATAAACAGTCTTAAAGGAAATACATTTTACTAACAAGCAACTTACGAGCTCTGAATAATAACACCGTTTGGCGAAGGGTTACAACCGTTGAAGGAGCCGTGATTTCCGGCCGGACCTCATGTCTGATCCAATGATCCGTGGTCCAGGGTCCCGGTCCACAAACTGATCTTACGCTACGACGGCATGGGAGATACGATCATCATAACGCTGAGAACGCTTAGCGTTTTTATGTATGTCATCACTCTCTCTCTCTCTCTGATTGCAATCTGACTTGCTCATGTCAGAGCCCTCGTCGTCGGAGATGCTTGTGCCGCTGCTGATGGTCACAACTCTATATTTGGGACTGTTGCTTGTCGAAGTTCATCACATGACCGTAACGCAACGCTGCCATGTCTCCACTGTTACCCGACTAAGGGATTTATTGCTAGCTTGTCAACATCCCGCAATTCAAACGTTGTGTTCAATCGTCCAACGTTACCTCTGACGATACCCCATATCAACTCTCTTGGATTCAGACCGCAGTGGTAAGGTGAAAGTCGTGAGACGGCGTTACCTTGACCTTTGATGTGTTTGTCAAGCATATTGCCGTGATCAGTTTGTGAGAGTTGATGATTTCATAGAGTGTGGTTATGTAGCCCTGGAAGGAAAGGACATATTCATCCTTCGCAGCCACGTCACCATATCTCCTTTAAGGCTATTAGACGTCGGGGCCTTGCTGTTTGGATCCTGCATACTGTGATATGCATTGTCCATGATAATAAGGGAGTCTGCAGGCAAAGTAGGGACCATCTTATTTTTCACCCACTCCAGAAATACCTTGCCGTTCATTTCTGCGTGGAGGTCCCTGTTGTCCTTGGCCTTGGCTCGAAAGACGAGGTCACAGCCTGCGGGAAAACCCCGACTAGCACAGCCAGCATGGAGAACGATAAATCTTCACCTTTTCCCAAGACGTCTTACAGTCCCCACTGGGTACCCAGTGACTGCTGGCTGTGTAAGAGGCATTTACCCACGTCTCATCCTTCTTCACGTTTCTTCGTGATGGTTAGAATATAATGATTTCGGAGATGAAGGATGTCAGATCGTTCACATAACACAGCCCTATTTTCACCACTTTTCTTCTGTATCTGTATCCAAATGTGTGCAAAAGTCGCCATAGCTTGTATTTTGTAACAATTAAGTCATGTTCAGTTTCAAGGTATTTCTTCAAGAGTCTTAGTGACATGTACTTATTTTCTGAATTGCACGTCTGATTTGATTTTTTCCGAAAACTGTCTAATTTGTCAATCCTACGTGGTATTGATATGTTCCCCTCCTGCTTCGCCTGATTGCTGGAGTCCTGCCGACGGACAAGATTTTTCAGCTTATTAGGATACATACCAAGAGATGTCGAAGCTCGTTTCAAGTATTTATTAATGGCATAAAATGGTTTTCCTCTTTCTGCCTCGCACAGAAAGAAATGATATACCTTAAAAATATCAAATGTTTCACATTAGGTGAGTAGCGCATCTTCGCAATCAACAACGACACATGCTATGTTGCACGTGCAGTACGTGATTGCGCTGTTCCTTCTAAAACTGACAAAAAAGCAGATATTGTTGGGTGCAGGGTATTCATTGCCGTGTACCGTTTTGACATTTAATAGTCTGTTCCCGATTTTGAGTTATTTTGCAATTCATCGTTCTCGTTTGAAGCCAAACGGACTGTTTGTTTTATGTTTATTAAAAAAACACTAGCCAACATCCTTGAGTAGAAAAAACCATGGCCCCATCGCGCATTTCAACACCCGAAGAACGTCTTGCTGTGCAATACAGGAGTGAGATATTAATAGATGGGAGATAAAGTCTGACAGTCTTTGCCTATAGATAACCGCTGACCCGTCCTACCAGGCCGTTAATGGGGTACGTAATACGTACAAGCGTGCCATAAGCTCACATCTCGCAGATGAAGCCACGACCTCACACAGCTCAAATTGTTAACCGAAATCCCCACGCTTTGGAATTCATGGCACATTTCCTTCATTGAAGCGTAGAGAGCTCCTAACATATAGACCCGAAACTGACCCTGATGTTTGCATGAACGCATCGTAATATAATCCAAGATTAACGATATACGAAACGTACCTAAACATGTATTGATTTTGTACCTGTTCTATTAATCAGGAAGAGCTAAGATCGAGGATAGGACATTTTTCATTACGGATTGTTATCCGAGTGAGTGAGTGAGTGAGTTGGGTTTAACGCCGCTTTTAACATTATTCCAGTTATATCACGGCATGTCAGCTTAATGTGGGAGGAAAGCCCGAAGTGATATAGGTCTCAGACGTTTACCACTTCGGTGAAACCCACGAGCACGGGTATGGTGCTGACGAATCTAGAAACATAATCGGGGCAAACCGGTATTCGAACCCACAATCATAGGTTTCTGACGTGCCAAAGGGACGCAACTCTGCACAGCGAATCGCGGCGCCTTAGACGACAGGGCCACATAGTGATAGAGCTGATCGATTTACATCCAACCATTAATTTGATTTTCGATATTTATTACCTTTCTGTAGCATTCAAGTATATTCACACTGAATATCAATTAAATTCGTTCTATTGGATCCATGATTTATTCAGGGGAAGCAGATATTGACGGGAGCGAGAGAAGCGAACAAACGTAGACCCTTCAAACTAATAGAATGTTCGACACGATAAGCACGCCCTGCACGAGCAGTGGCCGTGCGTCCGTGAAGTGTTTCACGCTATATGCCATTAGGGTACATAGGCATAATTGTGGCAATGAAGAGGAATGCCAAATATGACAATGATTCTTCAACGAGCTCGTTAAACGAAAACGATGTACAAAGATCACGTTGGTTCGGTTGAAATGCCTTTCGGTGGCTCAATATATGATAAGATTTGTTTGTGTTTTTCAATGTTTTTGAATTTATGGTAAATGGATTGGTGAATCGTGACGTTGGTTCTTAAGTATTATCATTGATTACTCATAGGGCATTTTTCATATGTTGGTGTTCTACCTTGTTCATACGTGTATTTGAGATGCGGTAAAGAAGTGAAGGCCTTTTCGACCTCACTTCGAATGTTTTCAATTAATTTTTTTTTTTAAAAACTTGTCTTGTTTGTTTTTTTGCCAATTGAAACTTCTAGCATTATTAAACGATCTTCTATAAAATAACATTCCCCAGCAGAACATACCCAATTTTATTAGATATGCAATTTTCGAAAACAATTACTTGGCATTTGAATAGATCGTGTATGTTTATTTGTTATAGATAATCAGTTATATAGTGAGTGAGTGAGTATGGTTTTACGCCGCTTTTAGCAATATTCCAGCAATATCACGGCGGGGGTCACCAGAAATGGGCTTCACACATTGTACCCATGTCGGGAACCGAACCCGGGTCTTCAGCGTGACGAGCGAACGCTTTAACCACTAGGCTACCCGACCGCCACCAATCAGTTATATAATACCTATAAGGGATCATATGAGATACGGAGTCATTAGGACTTTCAACACGATCAGTAAATTACACATGTGGTGATAACAAACCTGCGCCAGTGTTTGAAAAGTGCCATGGAAACACTAATTAACACAATTAAGCATAAACCGTAGAAATAACAACTGGCTGTTGACAAAGCCTTTCTGCTTTACCAACGTGTTAATATAGAGATGAACGATGCTCTCCTGGTGCTATATTCCCTGGACTGGTTAGGTAGGTTGGACGCGGCTCCGGTAGCGGAAGAGCTGCATGCTAATGCTGGTGTTTTAGCAAACCAGCTGCGACGTTAATCATTCATAGAGGAACGGAACAATGAAGGACCTGGTACACTGGTGCATCACGCACGTATTGAGAGACGGAAGGAAACGGACAACTGTCAGGGGATTTGAGAAATTGGAAAAACAGGAAATCGAAGAGGGACATCAAAAGTAAAAGTTAACTGGAGTCATTTATAGATTGAACCATCAATAATGTATAGTCGATTTAAAGAAATCTTGTTCATATTTTTTCATTCTTGTTTTTTTTTAAGTTATGAAAGAATGTATTGGAGTAATGTTTTGAAATCATTTTTGGGAAGGTTTCGTAACATTGATCCATAAATAAACGGCTTATGTGTGATGTATTAATCTTTTCCAGACATAATTCTATATCTTCTTATGGAGACCTAGCTCGCCTCACTGGCCGAAGCGAGTGTCTTAGCCTGTTATCGACCGCTAATATCAGTGGAGATGGTCCCCTAGAAATATCCACCTTTTCCATTACGACGACAAGCAAGTCTTAAACCTTTGCTTACAAGCCCTTGTGCTCATAAATGCGTCCTGATTGGATGTCCGTCTGAATACAGTGTAATTGATTGGCTATATTTTCTCTGTTTTAGCGCTAGTGGTCAACGCTCGTGACGAAGTGTTCTCGCTGTCAGCCACGTGACCATACAACGTCGCCGTGCGCTGCCGCCAATTAGAGCAGGATACTGCTCGCTGACAGTAGTCGCGCATTCGTCACGTAATCGAAAGTAGAGTCACAAGTCTCTGGTGGTAACTTGTGCCAAGTTCCAGGTGTGTCAGCCCGCCTGTCAGTGTGGCTGATCGGCGTGATGCATTGTGGGCCTGGTTCAGACAGGGGCCCCGAGGATGTGTTGTTTCGCGACTGCTTGTTTGGGAGTAGTGTTGTTCACCTGCGTCTTCGTGGCACCGTTGGTCTCAGCAGTGACAAACATAACCATTGGATACCTTACAACTTCCAAAGCGGACACATTTGTCCGAAACATGCAGGGTCGACTTATTTCTGGTGCCATTACTTATGCTATCAAAAAGATCAATGAAGAGAATATGGTACCTGGGTACCGGTTCAAACTCGTATGGAACGATACCCACGCTGATACCCTGGTATCCCTGAAAAGTCTGGCCGAGCAGTGGAAGGCCGGGGCGGTAGTCTTCTTTGGACCCGAGGATAGCTGTACCGTGGAGGCTCGTCTCGCTGCGGCTTTTAATCTTCCCATCATATCTTATGTAAGTATTTTAGTATTCTCACACATTTCGTCATCTGTTTAATCCTAGTTTATATTTATTTCATCGGAATGAAACGTTTATGACAGACCTTCAATTCAAGAACAGATATTTTAAACATTACTCAAACATTTGACTGGATTATATCACAAACGTGTAAGTCATACCTCAAACATGTAACTTGATTTTATCACAAACGTGTACATCAAACGTGTATATCAAACGATTCTAAATTATATAATAAACGCGTAAATCGTACCACAAACATGTGACGATTACAAATATGAAAATTATACTTTAAACATGAGATCACACACGTGTAAATCATATATAAAATATGTATCTAAATGATATAACAACTCAAACAGGTATTTGACTGATATTACAAACAAGCAAATCATACATCAAGCATGATTTTAAATAATATAACATAGCAAACGTGTAAATCACAAATCAAACATGTATCAAAATGATATCACAAACGTGTAAATCACAAATCAAACATGTATCAAAATGATATCACAAACGTGTAAATCACAAATCAAACATGTATCGAATTAATATCAGAAACGTGTAAATCACAAATCAAACATGTATCGAAATGATATCAGAAACGTGTTAATCACAAATCAAACATGTATCGAAATGATATCAGAAACGTATAAATCACAAATCAAACACTTATCAAAATGATATCACAAACGCGTAAATCACAACTCAAAGATGTATCGAAATGATACCAGAAACGTGTAAATCACAACTCAAACATGTATCGAAATGATATCACAAACAGGTTGATCATACCATACAAAATGCAACTTAATTCTATCACACAGAAAGTAAATTACAGACATGAAACGGAATTATATCACAAAGTTCTGAGTCAAACCACAGACATGTAACTGGATGATGTCATTAGCATATGTCATACAAGAAACATGTACCTGAATTGTCATTAACATTTGTCATACCAGAGACATGTACCTGAATTGTCATTAACATTTGTCATACCAGAGATGTGTACCTTAATTATGTCATTAACATGTGAGTCCTCCCACGGACATGTAACTGGATGATGTCATTAGCATATGTCATACAAGAAACATGTACCTGAATTGTCATTAACATTTGTCATACCAGAGGCATGTAGCTGAATTGTCATTAACATCAGTCATACCAGAGACATGTACCTTAATTATGTCATTAACATGTGAGTCCTCCCACGAACATGTTACTGAATTATATCATTAACATATGTCATACCAGAGATATGTAGCTGAATTGTCATTAACATCTGTCATACCAGAGACATGTACCTTAATTATGTCATTAACAGGTGAGTCCTCCCAAAGACATGTATCTGAATTGTCATTAGCATGTGTCTTACCAGATATATGTACCTTAATTGTCAATTACATGTTCATACCAGAGACATGTACCTTATTTATGTCATTAACGTGTCAGTCCTCCCACGGACATGTATCTGAATTGTCATTAGCATGTATCATACTAGAGATATGTAACTGAATTATGTCATTAACATATGCATCATACCACATACATGTTTCGTTTGTTGTTGTTTAACGCCGCACTCAACACTATTCCAGCTATATGACGGCGGTCTGTAATTAATCGAGTCTGGACCAAACAATCCAGTGATTGATATCATGAGTATCGATCCACGCAATTGGGGTACGATGACATGTATCAACCAACTCAGCGAGCCTGACCACCCGAATCCCTTAGTCGCCTCTTACGACATGTATGGTTTACTGATTTATTCTAACCCGGATCTTCACGTGTACCACAGACATGTAACTGAATTATGTCATTAACATGTGAATCATACCACAGACAAGCAACTGAATTATGCCATTAACAAGAAACTCAATATGAAACATAGGGCTCTTATCAAAATTAAAGGAATCATTCCACAACAATCTCTCAAACACAACTAATGTTATAAAACGTCATTGCGAGTGCCAGCGTCAAACTGATTATTGTCAGCTGCCAGTCAATAAATAAAGGAGGGTGATGAAAGCAAATAACTTGTCGACCTTGAGAGACTGTTCTGGGTAGATGTTGTGCTACGTTGCCCTTAACCTTTGAACAAACGCATTCAGCAGTAAGGAGACGAGATGAAGCGTCAAATAGCTTTGAATTGACCCATGTTATGTAAAAGTATATTTGTACTTGGGTATCAGAGAATCCGCGGTTTGATAGAAATAATTTGACTTCAACTGTCCATGAATGAACTTCCCCTTAATGTCGAGCAATATTCTTGCAGCTCCAGCCTTTGGCATTTACATTTCACAACTTTTCAGATTCAATCGAGCGAGCTCTTTCTGCCTAGATATCAAAGAGCGTTAGATTCTTGCTCAGAAGCTGTTTGATCAAGGTTACATTCAATGCCTCAGTAATATGTGATAGACACGGGGAGGATATTTCCAAATATGACACATTAGTGACAAAAATTATGTCCGATGGAATTCCCAGGTTTTACTTGTACCATTTGTTCTCGTGTTTGTCAGGTTTACTATTGACTTCCCTATACCCGATATCATCACTATTTGATAGTGATTCATGAACACATGCTCATGATATAGATGGAATCGTACAAGCGACTGTTAATAAATAATATTGCCAAAGGTTTAACAAAACCAAAAAGTACCAACTGGATCTTCTGAATGTCTTGCGTATGTGCCAGTGGGTGACATAATATCCTAGTTTTTGCTCCCCAAACTGTAATACATACACCGCAAAACACCTACCCTGTGACCAAAACCGGGTGATTACTAGATACAGTTCCGATCAATCCATAAACACATTCATGGTTAATCTGCATGCATATAACTTAATCATATCAGGACAAAAACAATTTTGAACCTTCCCGAAAAATGCGCTTTTTAAAACAAAGAATAGTTAGTTCAGAGGAATGTACACTGTAATACCGTAATGTCTTGAAAATTGGCTGTTTCCAGGAAGTAATGTCATACCGCGTAATTTACCGTACTGATAGAACGTACGCTGTATGTGGTTAGTAAACGCATCATAACATTGCACATGTGTGTCGGATATGCAAGAGAGAAAATACATGACACTCTTGTCTTCACCCTCCAGGTCGCCCTGTTACTGAGATTAAAGACATCTGGTATAGACAATATACACACGTAGTTGCCAGTACAAATTACAGTAATACATAATCTGCTATTCAAAACAAACGCCCCATCAATCGCAACCGGGGCGCGAATAATTCTCCTCCCAGCCGTCATCGTCTTCCTCCCCATCATCACACAGTGACTGAAATTATAGCCATCTAGCGAATATTACACACGCATACTTACAAATAGAATCGAATTGCCCGCTATCAAAAATAGTAACTAATACATAAACTACTGTTCAAAACAAACGTCCCATCGATCGCGACCGGGGCGCGAATGATTCGCGATCGATTCGTGATCGATGAGACGTTAGTGTGTGTCTTCATTTCCCTCATCACACAGTGACTGAGATTAGAGACATCAAGCAAAAATTATGCACGCGTACCTACGAATAGAATCGAATTACCGAAATGATGTCAAAATAATATAACCAATATGCACCACTGTTCAAAACAATTCGCGTCCCGGTTGCGATCAACGGGACTTTTGTTTTTAATAACACGGTATATGCTTAAGAAGCAGTTGCGTTGATATTGATAATAATGAGTAACTACCTGGAACTGCTTTGTCATGGTACCTGTATTTATATGTACACTGCCAGGCAAAGGAAAGAATACGCTTGAAAATTTGAAACAATCGTTTTTCAAACCTTTGATACCCGTAGCGAACCATTTCTTTCTTCTTCTTTTTTTTTTTTTTGGGGGGGGGGGGGGGGGGGGGGTGTTATTGGCCACGACCAATGTTGGGTGTATGCTTTCTTTGCTTAATTCACAAAGGTATTACTATTTTGTACAGATGAATACAACTAAATTAAAATGTACATATCTTACTTTCATATTCCTCAAGACAATCGGTGGGCTGGATAGGCCTGTTGTCTGAGCAGAATTGCACCCCTCAGTCGCCCCAGGATACACTGATCGTAGTTTCGAATCCAAGATTCGTATTTATAATGATCCTTGATTTGTGAACCCTGATGTGTCAAGTAGTAATGTCTACGGCCTGTGTTTATTTTGGGCGTTACAACTTGTTCACTATTATCCATCACTAGCTATGCGGATACGACGCGCAATGTGCCTCGTCTACTTGAATTCGATTTATTCGGTTTATACGATGTTATCGGGGTTAGGTCCAGGAAGTGTTCTGATCGACACAAGGATCTTATAGCGGCGCTGCGCTCAAACATCACGTACCTCGATATAATGGTCTACTGGATTTCAGTTTAACGAGTTTACACTGTACGGACTGTATTGCCCTGACACGTGAATGCACTCATTCCCAGTTACACATCCACATGTTAATATTCTAAACGAGTAGTTATAATGCAATAAACGCAGAAAAAAATAACATTTTATCAAATATGTCACTGAATTTGAAATGTACTAATATGTATAAGTTGTAACATCTGCACTACAATAATGTTTCTACATCATTGGGAATTATGGTCCTATTTATTTAGTATATAAAAAACGAAACAAAGGATGCATTTGTCGAGATATACGATTATGTAATTTTAAAAAAACGAAAATATATTAGGAACAACATCTGGCTGGCAATGCTTTATATAACATTTTTGTGAAATTTGATATTCATTTTTTTCATCTACGATCAATATACGTGAAGAGACCGTACAACACTAACTGCTGACAGCAGTATATGGCAAATCGCATACGGCACAGGGCGATGAAGTAATAAGCGTAAAGTCCAATTTGCGTGATTTTGTGTTAGCATGAGGCACGAATAGCCACGTGGTATAAAGCGTTTAAAGTCCATGTGAATAGTTATATCCCTTAGCTGTATCAGGATTCGCTGTTACCGGGTTAGAATTCTAGGTTTGCCCAAAAT